TTCCTTGAAAATGCTATGGAACAAAGCTTAGGACTGGACACAATGCTGGTAGCAGAGGCTGGTAGCAGAGTTGTATAAATTGTGGTGGCCTAATGCTTATTTTATTTTAGGGAGCTGCAGTGGCTCAAGTGGTTAAGACGCTGAACTGCAGGCTGTGGAAGGTCAGTAGTTCAGTAGTTCGAGACCTGGGTTGCCGCATGACGGGAGTGAGCTCCCATCTCTAGTTCCAGCTCCTGACAACCTAGCAGTTCGAAAGCAAGAAATTGCAAGTAGATAAATAGGTACCACTTCGGTGGGAAGGTAACAGCGTTCCGTGCGCCTTGGTGTTTAGTCATGCCGGCCACATGACCACGGAAATGTCTTCGGACAGCGCTGGCTCTTCGGCTTTGAATAGCACCGCAAACCTAGAGTCGGATTCGACTGGCTTTCGAGCAAGGGAACCTTTACCTTTTTAATGCTTATTTTGGGGATCAGAGGTGTACAGATTTCAATTTCAATTCTGTATTCTTTTACTCTTCTGTTTTGAATGAGGAACTGAGAATAAACATTATTAAGTAAACTGCATGTGAAAGCTGTTTTCATTCCAGTCTCTCTGTCTCTCTTTCTCTCTCTAAACAAACACACATGGCTCAGATTGCTAACCTTTGCAGACTACATCACACCCAACAATGACTCAGTCTCTGAAGAAAAATACATTGGAGCAGATGGAGAAGTAAGACAATCACATGCTGATTCCACTGTAGTGAGTTCCTTTTAGGCGCCAAGGCAGAACATGCCAATGCAAATTAAGTTTAGGAGAAGGCATCATAGACTTCCTAGGGGAAATATGCCGGCTGAACTGAACACTTGCAGTGGAGTTTGTATATGGGGGGGGGGGCTTTCAGTGATTTGGCTAACAAACTGCAGTGACTTCTGTTGTGTGTGTGTGTGTGTGTGTGGGACATCCATTCGAAATTGGTTCAATTGGTCTTTCCCTGACTTGGGCACAATTTTACGAAATCTGCAGAGATTGTTCCAAAATAGTCCGGGGGGGGGGTGGGATGTTGGCCATGTGAGCCTGAAGCAAGAAAAGTGTGGGGAAACTGCTGTGTGGATGCTCCATTCCTGCTGCAAAGGAGAGCTCCTAATGTTTCTGCATGGAGAAGTGACACTGTGGGAAACAACATCTGAATATTTTTCATAAAGATGCTACTTTTTCTTGTCAGAAATAGGCTTGGTGGTGTAAACTAGAGAAAAGCTTACCTATTGATATCCTGTTGGTGGCGAGACATGGATGTATAGTGTATTGTTGTTTTTTTGTAGGACTTGTTTGGATCATTTAATTTTTAAGAAACTGGATTACGTGTAACTCTTGAGATTGGTTCTTTCAAGTGCTAGTGGCAAATATTCTTTTTGGCTAACCCCACTGAGCCACCTTCTTATATAAGCAAGAAACTCTTGGGCTTCCTGACCCCCTTTCCATTTTGGCTTTACTTGGAATTGATATTGGTTTGGTGCCACCTACAGCATTCATGCAAAATTTGCTTTGTAAATGGCATATGTCCCCTGTTTTATCTGGGCCATTAAGCACTCCTGTGAGCTTTGGCTGTATTTATTTTTGTCTCTGTCCAAGCAGAGGCAACAGCTGCTATGGAGACAGCTAAAACTTGAGGCTGGGGATTTTACCAAGAATCTCCAACTGTGAAGGCTAGCCATGTTATGTTTGCTGGGACTAAACTAGCCCAGTGCATTTTGGATTACCGTTTCTTGTATTTTATTCACATTTTATAAAGAGAGTTTGTTGGTATGTTGAAGCACACACTGTTCCATTCAGAAAGAGATTGGTTTGGCGTGCAGATTGTGTGTTCAGATTCCTGGAGTAAGCTGTGAAATGCAGCCGTCTCAGAGGTGGGATACGACAAACATTGAACACTTTTGAATGAATGTTTAAAAATTACATAAAGCACTGTCCAGAAAGACTGCACAGTTAAATGCTGCTGAAGTGGCCTGGAAGATAATTAACACTCAACACCCCCCCCCCCCCGCTCTGAGATTTGATTGATCTGGCAGAACAATTGTCCCTGAATGTAATCTTAAGACTAGATCCTGAAAAGGTACAAGACCAGCCTGTATTATTGGTTTGGAAATCAGGGCACGATTAGAAGACATATGATATAGCAGCTCTGGTGAAGCTAAGTAGGTCCGAGTCTCGGTGCCTAGATATGAGACCTCCTGGGGGGAAAAGGTGGGAGATAAACGGAACATATGCCCTGACCTGGATGGTCCAGGCTAGCACAATCTTGTCAGATATCATCAAAGCTAAGCAGGGTTGGCCCTGGGCTGCATTTGGATGGGAGACCACCAAGGAAGCCCAGGGGTCCTATGGAGAAACAGGCAATGGCAAACCACCTCTGAACATCTCTTGCCTTGAAAACCCTACAGGGCTGCCATAAGTCAGCTGTGACTTGACGGGACTTTCCACCACCACCAAATGGAATAGATGAATCTAAATAACCATGAATTAAAGGAAAATGGTTGCTAGTGTTGTTCTGCAGTTTCTTGCTTGAGAGTAACACAGTACAGTTGCTGCCCCTTTTGCAAGCTGTAGCTCAGCCTCTTTGCACAAGTGGTAGTTTGTCTCAATTTAGTTTCACTTGTTTGAGTGGCACTGTAGTGTGAAGTAGTGTGGAGAAGATGACTTCTGAGTGTGAAATGGAACTTTTTCTATCCAGTCCTTTCCAAGCCTTTCTAGATACTCTTGCTCCCCTGAATTAAACTGGATTAATGTGTATGGGTGAGGAAGTCACACTGTGGTTTGTCTTCTCTTTTCCCCCAACCCATGATTTTTTAAAGTTTATCTGAACTTTGGGACAATGGACATCACATTTGTCCCAGTGAAAAATGTTATTTAAACTTCTGTCATGATTCTCAACCAGAAAGTTCTGAAGTAGACTAAAAGGGAGACTCAATCATGCATTTTCTACATATACAGATGAATACAGGTCAATTATTAGTGCCCCATTTCTTGATTCTGTTTGCAGAAAAGGAGTTGCTTGTTGAAGAAGGAATCCTTTCAGCATGATGGTATGTTTAATGTCTGGAGAGATCACAAGGAATGTTGCTGTGTCCCAAAGGACTATACCCCTTGGTTTGAGAAGGGTTCTGAGAGCCCTTCCAAACAAGTACATGTGCAAATGTAGGACTGCTTTAATTCAAGTCAGAAGATTACCAGATGTGTCCCCTCCTTCTGTTGAAAAGAAACTGGGTAGTACAAACATTCCTACAGCTCACATAAATTGATATATTTGTATGTTAGCAGATTTAGTCCTGTTGAAGTTAAGAGCATTAAATGGCCTTAAATCTGAATACTTGGGCATAATTATAGTGTAAACTAGTTTACAAAAAAAAAGTTAATGGAGGCCACATAGGGTTTTCAGTTAATTCATAGAGAATATGCCAGGATGTGTAGAGAGAGTCATGAACATTAGTGGGAAAACTGGTTGAAAAGCATATATTTAGTCTCAGCAAGGAAGTAGCAGCTCACATTTTAAGAAGGAATTAAACAGCAGCCTGATTATTCTCGTGTATATTCAAGTTTTATTACGCTACAAAACTCACTGTTGCTGCAAAGAAGATGTGGGAGTTTACATTGCTTTGAGTTTTATTGCCTCCAAAGCACATATTACTTGGCATGTATTTCTGGTTCTTTATTTGTATGTCTTAACCCAGCTCCCTTGCTTTAGGTGACCTGTCCCTGGTATATTCAGGCCAAGGCTTGTAGAGAGATGTGGCTCTCCAGTCTTGAATCTGAGACTTCAATCAGTCCTTTGTTGTGTTAGGATGGATCTGTTGCATTAGGATGGATCTGTCAGATCTATAAGAAAATGTAAATTATGTTGATTTCTGTTCATCTGTTTTTAAAACTAAGCGTTGCAACATCTGTATTTGGCGTTGACATCAAACTATTTAAGTAGTGGCAACTGAGAGCAGTGATGTTCCAAATAGTCTTCTGTAGCTGTCCTTTTCTTTGTTTACTGCAAATTGCTCAGGAAATGGTACAGAATATGAACCAGTCACTAAAGCAGAATCTTATAGGTGAAATGTGTGTGACTTCTAGATGAACTATGGCAGAGCACTGGAGAGCCAGCCCTGAGGATGGTGCCAGTTGAGGAAATTCATTTTTATCTCCAGTTCATAATTTTCTAGATGATGTGAAATTTTTCCTCCCTCTCTTTTCTTAACTACTAGTTCATTTTCTCTAAAAGTCATGCTGAATTATATTTGGATTCTTGACAAATGTGTCTTAATTTTGAGCTTCAGTTTCTTGAGAGAGAGAAAATACTAAATCCTAATATTAAACATTCTTGTTTTGTCTTATGCATTTATCATATCTATATCCTGCACTTCTCTAAGAACGAATGCTTATCCAACTGGGGGGTTATCCTAGTTCACTAGCGGATCATGATACAGTTGGGCAGAATGCTGATGTCTGGCAGAAAGTGACCGAGTGGTCACTTCCTAGCTGAGAGGTGACCTGTACCTTAGATTGTCTGATGCAGGTTCAGTAGTCTGCTCTAGTGATGTTGCTGAAGTCTGCTTGAATGTTTCAGTATGCTTGGAAGTCAGTCCTCAGTTACTTGTGTATCTTGTAGAAGTGCAGGGGAAAATTGGATTGTGTTTGAAGTAGGCTTTGTGTGAATGGAAGGTATTTTTACACATGAAACAGTGGTCTGTGATTTCCACAGATTTTTCCTCAAACTGCAGCCTCCCAGTGCAGTATCCATGTCCTCAGAAGTAAGGTTTGAGTTGGTGCAGGGAGAAGGAGGGGTAAGTGAGAAGGGAGCCTCTTCAACAGGTTGATCTGAGCCAAATTGACACTTTTGTGGGTGTGAATTTTCCATTAATGATTAGCTGCTTGTACTTACACATTCTTGTACTTTCTTTCCCAGTAGTAGCACTTCAGATGTAGGAGCGGTTTCAGCATGTACAAATACAATATATATTATCTGTTCTTGTTGCAGAAAGCCAACTTTTGCCTTGGAATAATTTCACAAATGAATGCAATATCCCTGGAAACTTCATGTGCAGCAATGGGCGCTGCATCCCAGGAGCCTGGCAGTGTGATGGGCTGCCAGACTGCTTTGACGAAAGTGATGAAAAGGAATGCCGCCAGTCGAGTCCGACTCTAGGGTTGCGGTGCTCATCTCCGTTTCAAAGCCGAAGAGCCAGCGCTGTCTGAAGACGTTTCCGTGGTCACGTGGCCGGCATGACTAAACACCAAGGCGCACGGAACACTGTTACCTTCCCACCTAAGTGGTACCTATTTATCTACTTGCAATTTCTTGCTTTCGAACTACTAGGTTGGCAGGAGCTGGAACTAGAGACGGGAGCTCACTCCCGTCATGTGGCAACCCGGGTCTCGAACTGCTGAACTACCGACCTTCCAAAGCCTGCAGTTCAGTGTCTTAACCACGTGAGCCACCACAGCACCTAATTGTAAGACTTACCAATGTAAAATCACAAAATTTTACTAGTGTATCATCTATAATCAGAGCAATAACATCCTCCTTCAACTGAATGGCATTACCATTTATATACTTATCATGGTGGTATCCTGCCCTTTCTTTAAGGAATTCAGAGTATAATACATGTAGTTCTCATTTTATCCTAACATCCATTCATGATAAATGTCAGACTCCACCTGTGGTGGGTTGGAGCCTGCGGTGGGTGTACCCTTCAGTGTCCTTTTGGGCTGGGCAGCAGGAAGGCCTTAGACCTGGGGGCGGGATTTGAACTCACCCTGGGCCCCCTCTTTCTAGCTTCACTCCTGTACTCCAGTACCAAAAGAGAAGTCTGGCTCTTCCTCTATGGCTGCCCTGCTTCCTGCCTTTAAAGGATTTCTTCTGGGCGGGGCAGCCCTGGGCTCCTCTGAAGTCCCATGAAAGGGATGTGGGTCCTTCTGGGAGTGAATAACAGAGGCAGTTGGGTTCCCAGCCCTGAACTTACCTTGTGGCACCTCTCCATCTCCTGCTACCTTAGAGGGCCTCTTCTCTGGCCTGTGCTGGCCTGAAACGGGTGGGGATGATGCCAACCTCCTATGTGGGATTGCCTGTGGGTGTGGCCCAGCAGCAGAGCCTCACCTCCTCTCTGGGTTGCTTGGCCCAGGGAGTCTCCCATCCACGCTTCCTTGTATTGCAGTTACCTGTCCCTTCCTCACTAGCTCATGGGCAAGCTTCCCTTGGGAATTTGCTGCAGTTGTTCCAGCCTGCAGCAGGCCCGCACCACCTGCCTGAGAACCTCCACGGATCCAGGTAAGTTTGGGGATAGGGTCTTTGATCTTACCATCAACTTACCAGGGTCTTTCATCAGAATAAGTGGTGGTGGCCTGCTCATGCGTACTGTAGGTTTCAAAGCTTGAGAATAGGTTTGAACTTGTTTCCCAGATTCAGTGTAGAAATGGGCGGATGCATTTATTGTTCTATGGGTTGCTTCTCTTCCTCATTCTGTTCTGCTTGTCTTCTACTTCACCTTATTACTGATTAATGGTTTACACAAATGCATCATTTATTGTTCTATGGGTTGCTTCTCTTCCTCATTCTGTTCTGCTTGTCTTCCACTTCACCTTGGAGAATTACTAAACATTAATTCTGGAATTTGGTTTGCAATCCTCCCCCCTTACTGATTAATGGTTTACACAAATGCATATGCTCACAACACCTGCAAAAAGGATTCTTGATACGGTCATATGATTGCTTCGAGTTTTCTTTTTGCATTTGTGCACAAGTGCATTGAGGACTAAAAAAACTCTTATATAGTTTCAACCAATGCTTATGTGTAGGGATGTAAAGTAAAAAGTATAGTAAACAGTGCATGTGTAGCAAACTGAGAAAATTAAGAATGAATGAATGGAGCATCTCTGTCATATTGCCACTCTGCAAAGAAGATCAGATGCTTAAAAACCCCAAATCCATTGAGCATGCATATTGTTTATGAAGATGAATCAATGAAGAATGTACCGTGTTTCCTTTTTGGTTTGCAATTGTATCTTAAATTCGCTGTCTGGGATTGTAATTATGGGTACTGAGAGGCTCAATTTTGCCAAGATTAGGTGTAATAGAACATTCTTTCCATCCACAGAATGCAAATTTAATTGAATAAAATTGTGTGTATGTGTGAATGAAGTAGAGAGAGGTTTTCTTTCCATAACAGTTTTGTCATTCTCCTTGTTGCATGCTATATATAGGGTTAATGAAACAATGCTTAAAAAGGACGTATGTTTTGCTTATAAATCAGCAGTAGCCATTTAGTGACCACATATGGAATTCAGGCTATTCTTTTATCTTTGAGAATAAGCTGGATCCAGCAAGATTCTGGTGATAATGAATGGAGTAACTGCCAGTAAAATTTAAATAGCTGCAAAACCACAGTTCATAAAACTATTTTCTTTAGTTGGTTTGGGTTAGGATTGTCAATTGATGTGACTGCAGGATTTGTTCTTTTCCCTCATAGCTGGATTAGATTATTAAAATATTTTAGGTAGGTCATTTTTATTTCACCCAAGCAGAGATAATCATCCTGTTCTTTCCTCTTCCCATACCTCTGTCTGCTACCTTAACTGGTCTCATGAATAAATTTAAAACTGACATAGAGGGGAAAGAACCTGGGAGCAGGTGGTTCATTTCCTGCACTGGCCTATAGTTGACAGGTGAGCTCAGAGGAAGCAAAAGAAGCAACACTGATGGAGCTTGAATTTCAAGTAACTCTTGAGGGTTGTAGGTTTTGATTTTTATTTCATTTATACTTTGCCTTGCCAGTATAAAATACCAGGGTTTTGTGTCTTATCAAAAGATTGAGTAAAATCCAAGTTCTAGCAAACACAACAAATCCAAGATGCCTTGTAAACATCATATAAAATTACAGAATGATTGGGTTCCAGTTTCCAACTGGGGCAGAACATTCCATAGTGGATAATAGCCAGCATGATGTAGTGGTTAAGAGCGGCAGACTCTAATCTGGAAAACCAGGTTTGAATCCACTCTCCTCCACATGACGCCTACTGGGTGACCTTGGGCCACTTACAGTTTTCTCAGAACTCACTCTCAGCCCCATGTACCTTACAAGGTAACTGTTGTGGAGAGAGGAAGGGAAGGCGATTGTAAGCCGCTTTGCAATTCCTTACGGTAGAGAAAAGGGGGCTGTGTATAAAAAACTACTCTTCTTCTTCCATAGTGCAGCTGCCACATCTGAGAATATCCTGCTATGTAGGGGTCTTGTTGTAGAAAAAGAGCTGCCGGAGCTCATTAGCATAACTCATTAGCATAACTTATTTGCATATGCCACGCCCCCTGACATCACCGGAAGTGACAGAAGGCCACACCCCCTGACATCACCGGAAGGCTGTGTATAAAAAACTACTCTTCTTCTTCCATAGTGCAGCTGCCACATCTGAGAATATCCTGCTATGTACCTCTAAGGATGTAAATTATTGGTCACTGGATCACAGACTCACACATAGTTTTTCATCGGTAGTAAGATTTTTATGGGAGGAAAATCTTCCTTAGTTATTCTTGACTGGGACCTAGACCATGGCTTTAAAAGAATCGCGTCTTGAATATGGTGCAACTGTCCGTGTTATTGACTGAAGCCAACCATTGTATGTTGCCTATACACTACCCCAGGAATCAGGTAACCTGCAGCATGTTGCAGTATGTAAAGTTTCTGAATAATCAAGGATAATCCCATAAACACTGATTTAAAACAATCAGTTGTCAAGGTTATCATAGCATGCTTGAATGCTGCAAAGTCTCTGTTTTATAATGGCTGCCCCTGTTTTTTCCCTCCTTTCCCCCCTCTTTTTTCCAAAGTCAGTGCCAGATTCAGGGGCAGTCCCACTGTGGATTTGGTCTTATACAGAAAATGTGATTCTATTCATAATTGTGTTGATAATCCATCGGTTACAAGGAACAGCTACCATAACTACCTTGGTCTTCTCTGAGTTTTACTATACCATTACTGCCTTTGGTCAGTAGCTCAGGACCTGCACTACTGAACCTGCTTCTGATAGAAAAGAAAAATAGAGCTAGAAGTTACCAGCAGATTGATTATTCTGTGCTGAGAACCTTGGGTGTCTTCTAAAAACATTAAATAGTAAAGAGGACAAGCTAGAACTTGTGATTTTGTTGTTCAGTCGCACAGTCAAGTCTGACTCTTCGCGACCCCATGGAGCAGATCATGCCAGGCCTTCCTGTCTTCCGCCGTCCTCTGAAGTTTGCTCAATTTCATGTTCGTTGCATCTATGACACTGTCTAACCATCTCAAATGGTTAAATCTCAAATAACCAAATGAGAAGGGAGCACTCACTGGAGAAGACCCTGATTCTGGGAAAGATTGAAGGTCAAAGAAAACAGGGACGGCAAAGGATGAGATGGTTAGACAGGAGGGCCTGGCGGGAGCTGGTCCATGGGGTCGCGAAGAGTCGGACTCGACTGTGCGACTGAACAACAACCATCTCATTATTTGCCATCCCTTTCTTCTTTGTGCCATGGGCACAAAGTCTTAATCTTCCACTGAATGTCCTTTCTTTTTTCTTTCAGTATCCACTCTAGGTAGGTCTTCCATCTGGTCTTGATTTCCATGGATTTTTCTTTCCATGTTGTTCCCTTGTTGATTGACGCCACGATATCTGACTGTATAAAGTCAAACAAATAGTTGTACCAGATTTCTATTGTCCATTTACTTTTGTCTTTCCACCCCAGAGCTATGACCACCTTTCCCGCCAGTAGATAAGTAGCCTTATCTAGTAACGGGCATCCTATTGTACTTAACAACATTAAAGTTAATGTTATATTGCACACTTTTCTAATGATTTCAACAATTTCCCTCCAGAATGACTTTACTTCTGCACATTCCCACCACATGTGTGCATACCAACCTTTAGTCTGTTTACAGTGCCAGCACACCGAACTCAATCCTGGAATCATATTAGCTAGCTGTGCTGGTGTCTTATACCATTTTGTAAGAAATTTATATTCAAGTTCTTTAAACCTAATTACTTTGATTTCTTCCACTCCTTTCATAATTTTATCCCCCACCCTCTCTGTTATCTGACCTTCATGGCTCCATCTCTTTTGTAAGTATTCTGTTATTTTATCTTTATTTGTTAGCATCT